AGGGGTTTTTTTGGTTTGTTGGTGGGTTTGTGGGTTTTTTTGGCATAGGCATGTACTGGCAGATGGGGGAAGAGTAACTGTCCAGTGCTCAGATGCTCTTTGAGACTGAAATCAAACATATAAGGCATTCTCAATTCATACTGATTAAACACACAGACTAAACCAGGTAATTACAGATACATGTGTTGGGGACTTTTTTTTTTAAATTCATAAATTGTTCCCATCTTTAAAAACACTTTTAAAAAAAAGTGGAATTACCAACACACAGAAACAGATGTTTCTGGTAGTTAAATGTCAGGAATTCAGACTCCTTGTCTGGCATCACCTGGTTTTGATTCAGTATTCATTGTATCAGGTTCGTTTTGCTCAAACTCTGTCCAGTGCTGGAGAGGTAAAGCCACCTTTGGAACAGATAGTTGAACTATTCTTGAACACCTTTTCTTTAAAGGACCTTTCATCTACACAATTTAAAATAACTGTAAGTAATTTAGAACACTGTACATGAACACGTGCATGCACAGACATATTTACGCATACACCAAAATGACCTGGCACGTTTGTATTCGCATTTAAAAGAGATACCATGCCTCATCCTACTGACCAGAAAGAGCACAAATTGTGATATACCTGGATTCTCCTTCTTTTGCTATACTAATATTTCTCAACAGTTGCAGCGTACTTGTGAAAGTTTCATTTTGCCAGCTTGGTGCTTGCACTGCCATCAGTAAACATGGTGTAATTCTACTCCAACCATGCTTGCACAGAATTTCCACCTACCGCCATGCCTGCTGACCTCCTAGCTATTCATTTCCAGCTAAATTACCAGCCCTGGGTTTGAACCGTATTTCCCTTTATCCCCTCATCTGAAAACAAATACACATGTACAAAACTTCCCCACGCAGACTTTTCTGAAAAGACACTTCTCCCCACATGGAATAATGCTGAAGTCAGCCAGCACCTGCCCAGGTGCAGGAATCCCTCCCTTGTGCAGATCTGATTGCAACACTGAAGTAGGTGCTTTAATTGTCCTCGAATTATTACAAGGATATCAAACTTTTTCTATCCAAATATCTGTTTAGTTAATACAGGCCAACTTCTAGGGAATCTTCATTTTGCTTCCCTTTTTGGGGAAGGCCTAGCTGCACAGACAGAAATGTCTCCAGACATGACCAGAGCCACCATACGATATTTCAGTATCTTACCACAAGATCTGTATTGATGTCAGAAAAGAGTCATTTAATTTTAACAGTGTTGGTTCAACTTTCTTCTTAAAATAGTCATCAATTAACTATCAGCCTGTACAGAACATGAAAAGTGATACATGAGTGCAAGATTTTAATGAAGTGACAAAGCTCTAAGCTGGCTCCTTACATGATTACTTAATGTGTCCTACATGGTCTGGTATGTGATTTTGTCCATTGGACATATTATTTCTAATTTAACAGGTCATTACAGCTTTAGTGTAATTGTGGGAATAAAAGCACATAAAATACAAGAATTTCAAAATAAATTTTACAGCTCACATTTATGCAACAACTTACTGCATTTAAAAATTACTACAGCGCAAATTAGCATAAACAAACACACATGCCATGGGGAACCTGCACTGCAATAGTAGCTGGATTTGGCGTGCAGAACTCCCTGTCCTACACAGCCCTCACTACTGTCACCATTCATTGCTCCTTCCCATGTGTGAGTAGTGAAAAACAGCAGTAAAGATCAGGATCGGGCACCGCAGCCTTTGGCAACAGATACCTTCTCTTCACATTGCTGGCCGATAGCTCCAGAGCCCAAATTCTACTGAAGAAAAGCCAGGTTCGAGATGCCAGCTAATAGCGTGGGCTGTGCTTTGTATGCCCCTGCTCACATATCTCCAGTCAATCCAGGATATCACAGGCAAAGCCTGAGCTCACTATGGGATTGAGCATGCTCAAGGTATCTTCCTTCCTGGGAAGTTCTAACAGGTACCAGCAAAACGGACCACCCTGGTTGAACTGTGTAGGCAGCATCTCTGTTAACAGGGGACCATAATGCCATGTTGGTGAGAAGATGGCAGTCATCATACAAGGGCGTATGAGCAGGACTATGGACTGGTTTACACCTGATTTAAGACTCTGTCTCCAAGCACTAGCAAGACCCAACCTGGAGTATTGTCCAGGTTAGGATGATGCACTTCAAATACAGCAAATCAAATAACACAAATAAGACTTGGGAGGAACCCAGAGGAAGGCAGGCAGAATAATCACTAGTCAAACACAAGTTATGAGAAGAGACTGAATGAACTCAGACTGTTAAATCTAAGGAGAGATGGTAGCCTGAGGGGAGATGGTAGCACCCAAACATCTTGGAGGCTACTGCAGTGAAATGGGCAATGACCATGTCTACACAGATGAACAGGAGAAGTAACAGGATCAAGCATCTGCAAGAAAAACTGGAAAGAGTTGTTATGAGAAATCTTTTTAAGGACAGGCACAAATTGCCTAGAGGCGCTGGAGAATCTCCATCACTGAAGCACAGGAAAAGCAGGTATCTTACAAGAATAATACAGCTAGAGTTGATAATGCATTGGGAAAGGGAGTAGTAGATCTCTCAAAGCCTCTCCTAGTCTATCTTCTCTGTCTTTAGGTAGTGATCTACTACACTGCACTTCCAGCTCATAGACTTCCAGATGTAGCTAAAACTATGAGGAAGACCGGATTACAGTTTAACTCTGCATTGATTTTCCTGTGAAACAGTGAGGTTATACCAAAGGCCAGATTCTCAGACTACATAATTCAATTTAACTTCACTACCTTGAAAATGGATTAATTCAATGAAATTGGGCTAAATTACACCAGATGGGAATCTTGCCTCAAATTTATGCCACCGATCATATTTCATCCTCCTCTTTCAACTGACAAGGAACATCAGTCTTAGGTCAGAGCCTTATCTTAGGTCAGACTCTTAATTCTCATGCACTTAAGCTTCCATCTTCAAACAAGAGAACTCAGAAAATTCTTAAAAACAAATGGTCTCCATTTCTGCGGTCTCCAGTACCAGGACACACACTTGTCAGTAATTTCGCCCATCCCGTCACTATTATCTTTGAAATATTCAATCATAATTAAGTATTTGCTTTCCTCTGACACTCCCAGCTGAGACTGAGTGTAGAGCTTGCTTAAAGAAGAAAAAAAAAACCCAAATGGTCTGCGACATGTCAAAGAGATTATGAACTCTGAGATGCCGCAACACAGCGTCAAACACTGCTCTGTCATCTTTGACAAATTCTGGATTTCCCCAGTTTACCAGGAAAGGAAGCATGGCTGGGTATGAAGAGCCCAGATGTTTCCTGGTTCTGCAATACTGATGGCATTCAAAACTCTATCGCTGCTAACCACAAGAAAAAGAACACCTAGAAATCACTGAAACCACAGTGGCGTAGATAAGGACTGTATGAGCCACTGAACACCAGTGTAAAAAAAACAGCAAAATTGTTTATGAAAATTCTATCCAAGACACATTAGAAAGGGAAACACACTGGTACTTTGGAAATTCCCACGCTGCATCAAAATACAGTGCTCCATAGAAAGATATTCAAACCTTTAGACGCTTCTAGTAAAGTTACACCTATTTCTGAACACTCCAGGCTTGCCCAAGCCACAGTTTATTGTGTGAAGTACATCTATGTTCACACAAGTCAGCATGAGAGAAGCTAAATCCTGAAAACAGAAGTGCAGAGAAGCACACAGAAGACATGCAAGCTGACTAGCCAGGCTTAGCTTAGCAGTCTGGGGCAGTGCCAATGTTCACACCACATCTGGACTGATCCTGCACAGAACACATGGCTCTGGTGCCTCTGTACCACCTACCACTGCAGGGGATGATGTGCTACCTTCTAAGAGACGCCCAGCCAAAAAAATTAAACATTAGCTGACGTAGGTATTAAATTTAATACCAGCCTAAAGACTAGGCTTGCCTGAATTACAGCATCTGATGCTCAGAGTCAGGTTTGCTGGCACAGTCCTGGTCTCAATGGATTGGTCAGCAGGGATTGAACCCAGCTGTCTTCAAAATGTCAGGTAAGCGTGATATTCACATACAACATAAAGTGCTGCAATATAAACAAGCCCTAACATTACACATCTCTTAAAAGCAGTGTTGGACCAGTTACATACTTGTTCTATCTGAGCAGATGTCAGCATCTGCTTTAAGTAGACAGAACCAAAACATTTGTGTTCCTTCCCCATCCCCAGCCCCCATTCTACTCAAAAGTAGGGAAGAACACAGAGTGTCAGATTTTTCAGTGGCATTTTGTACCAGAGCAGAAAGACAGATGTTTTGATCATTTCCCCCCCACACTACAATCTGGGCAGCCAGTCTCTTTACTAAGCTGTTCACCCTTACTATTAAAATTGATTTGCACAACAGCACATTTCAGCCAAAGCAAGCATGGCAGTCATTAAAGAGTAGGCTGCTCACAGATGTTCTGTACTTAGCCAAGTCAACTACTGATGAATGGGTCATCTTTTGTCAAGCAACTGTAAGGAACTGGTAAAGAAATAATCTGTGGCTTGAGAACAGTCATGTTGACAGGTAGACCTTCTCCTGTCCTTTTGGTTTCCAACAGCACTGTGCTCTGTTAGCTGGTCTTCAGCCAATCTCTCATTAGAATAACAGAAAATAATGAACATATCCTGGTCAGTCGCAAGGGCTTATGCTTAGAAACTATGGAAATCTTTAGAAAGTAAATATACAGACACTGAAGCAGTGGCACTACGAGTTAAAACTGCCTTCAGCTCTGGGGTCCCAGCACAAGAAGGACATGGACCTGTTGGAGCGAGTCCAGAGGAGGCCACGAAGATGATCGGAGGGCTGAAGCACCTCTCCTATGAGGACAGGCTGAGAGAGTTGGGGTTGTTCAGCCTGGAGAAGAGAAGGCTCCAGGCAGACCTTAGAGTCACCTTTCAGTACCTAAAGGGGGCCAACAAGAAAGCTGGAGAGGGATTTTTTACAAGGGCATGTAGTGATAGGACAAGGGGCAATGGCTTTAAACCCTTTAAAACAGGGAAGATTTAGATTAGATATACGGAAGAAATTCTTCACGGTGAGGGTGGTGAGGCACTGGCACAGGTTTCCCAGAGAAGCTGTGGATGCCCCATCCCTGGAAGTGTTCAAAGCCAGGTTGGATGGGGCTTTGAGCAACCTGGTGTGGTGGAAGGTGTCCCTGCCCACGGCAGGGGGGTTTAGATGAGCTTTAAGGTCCCTTCCAACCCAAACCATTCCATGATTCTATGATGATATTGGAACAATTCAAACATAAGCAAAGAACAATAGTTCAACAAGGGATCAGGTCAGGGTCAGAATTTAAAACTATAGTATATAATGTGGTAATTCTCAAAATATTGCAGACCACTTCTTAGAAGTCAAGATGCTTCCAAATATCACCCCTCCCCTATTAGTCCTCTGACTGTCCTTGGCTCCCTCTATTTTGCTCCGGTCAGCTCAACATGCCCAATTTCACTGTTTTCTTGCAGACAATCTTGCACTCAGGGATGCTACTTTTACTGGGATAAAAACAAAGCAAAACAAAACACAAAACCCCCCAAACAACACATAGGAAAAAACCACACAAAAAACCCCAACACAAAATCTAAAAAGCAACTAATCTACTTCTCTTTGTGAGACCTCTGAAAGATCTTGGATGAGGGGACTACATATTATCTTAGTTAAAATAATTACAAAAACCTTGAGTCTTAGTACAAAGTTCTCACACCACAGCAGCTTCAAGAAGCCTCAGCTAGGTCCAGGTTGCGTTTTGCTGAATAACAAATGAAGAGTTGTAAGGAAAACACCTTGCCAATAGACAGGGAATGGCCATTATCAGATGAAAATTATATCTGAAACATTAGAAATCTGGTGCCAAATTCCATCTCCATTCACAGTTTCAACAGCCAAAAGAACAAATGACACCCATGGGAGGAATATTCTCTGTCAGGAACTGCATGGAGATTATATAGCAGTCTATACTGAGCTCTCTTTGGTGTAATGTCCCGCCAAGGATAAGAAATGAGGAATGATGCTCAGTCTTCCTCTAGACCTGTAAGACTGCAGACGCTGCTCTTCAGCATTCTCATATTTGGAACTGGCAATATTCTAGCCCTGCAAACATTACTGCAAGGCCTTTGATACACAGGAATCTGCATTGCTGGAAGCGTTCTGCTGAAAGTTGCAAACAGAGAGAATTTAATGGAGACTTACAACCCAGACAAATGAGGAGGGATGTTCACAGAGAGATCGAGGGATAATGAACACCAAAGCAAATGTGAAGTTTTATTCCTCAACCCTGATAAACGCAAGGTCTCATCTCCAAATAAACACTTTTCAAACACTGGCAAACTGATCTCCTGTCCTCAAAGACGAAGGAAAAGTCCCATCCGTTCTTGCAGGAGTTATCCAAAAAAAAGGACAGCCTGAGTTAGCAGGTACTCATGAGAAGCACTTCCCTAAGTATTTGCAGTTTGGCATAATTAGAAGCCAAAGAGGAACTAATTATAAAAACTTAATGGACACAGCTAACTCTCAAATAAGTATCACTGTCATCTCCCTTCACAGTTAATCAAGCACCTGTAAACACAAACAGAGCAAACTTGAGTTCTCTCTGCAGGTTTACTAAAACTTGCATTTTTCACCTCAAAACTGCCACTCTCATGTGCCACTCATGACCACAGGGGTGAAAGCTGCAGGATCAGGACACTAGACATCATTTCTAGGACCAGGAGGCTTGTATCCTCCCTGAGGATGCACAGCCCTGAGCACATCGATAATTCTATGAGCCACATTCCATCAGAACGTAATTAAAAGAATTATTTGCCTTTTTTAAAAGTCCTGTTTCCAAGAAGTGAACAACCTTGTAAGCAACTCTGCTGGAGAAGTAAAGATGTCTGTTGTTATAGAGCTTTTTCCAGAGCTATAACTACTCAGGAGTTAATTACAGCACACAAACTCTCTACACATTCCTTTGGATGCACATTTGCCTGTGGAAGAATAGGCTGTATGTATCGGCACATAAGTACTTTCTCTGTCCTGCCTACACTGTATCAGTTCACTAAACAGATCTAATTTACTGTTTCCTCCAAAGGCATTTACCTTTGGAATTTTGTTTTTAACAATAGAAGTCTCTTGTATATATGCACTCACAAAATGATAGCTCTTTAATGATGCTAAGTCAGAAAAATGCCCTTTCTATGAACATAGTGCAGGAAAAATGTCCTTGAGTATCTCAGATACAAAATGCCAATAAATTGAATTTATGTCTCATTTAATCTACAATGGAACAGTTAGTACTTAACGGATACATACACTTCCCCTAGTCCCTTTCTTCCTGAGAAACTTTCAGATGCTGAAAATCAATTCCTTTTGTCTCCTTGTTATTCATCTGCTACAAATTAAGGAGAAACTCTGGGCATTCAGTGATCCCACAATGGTCTTTCATCTCCAGAGAAGCCTGGTATGAATTAAAATCTTACGCTCCCTCAAATTATGGATGCATACTGCAGCGTGCCACTGACTTATCTGCTCGTGACTTTTGCCAGTCTTCTCAGCATGCTGCAGCTAGCTCATCTGCATCTTTCAACTTAAGTGACTCTTCTACAATGCTGCCCATCCAGCCCACAAAAAGTGCCTTGACGCTAGCATAGACACATATGTCCCCACACAACAGGTACCACTATCTACTCTTTTTTCCAATTCCCTGCCATTTAGAATTTATATTAAAAAGTGTTTTTTACTACAGCCGAGATCTTAGTAAAAGAACAATAAATACGTCATGAAAGTAATGTTCTTTCACTTCAGTGGCCTTGAGAGATGAAGATTATATACAAATAACATTTAACTGACGTAATTTCTTTGTCATGTCTGTTTTTAAGGGCAGTTTTAACTTAGGATGCTCTTTTTGTCTAGAGGACATAAAATCCAACTGCTATCTAGACTGCTGCAGCACTGGTCAAACACACACTGCTCTTTCACTCCCAGCTTCCAGCTAGTTGTGCTGCTGGATGTCCTGTACCACAGCAGTTCAAGGCTTCCACTCTCAGGTCTGAAAGCAAATCAAGATTTAACATACTTATTCTTGTTTTACTCTTTGTTGCTCTTTCAGTCTATTATTCCTCCTTCCAAATGCTGTTTGCCCACTCCTCGACTCTAAACTACTCCCTGCAGCCAAAGCAACACTTGCAAATCTACATTCACATTCTGCCCTACAGGAACCATCATCTTTTGCTAATCGCTTCTACATCCAACATTTTCCCCAGACAAGCTTTTAACCAACCCGTTCTACAATCTCTTAAATAAATAATTTCTTTGTTTAAATTAGATTTCAGTGTGGAATATTTTCCACGAAGCAATCTTTTATCTATTCAATATGGTAGTTTGAAGACCTTCAAAATATAGCTACTGAAAAGCTAAATTAGAACAGAAATGTGTGTGTTATATGTAACCCTGAACAGCAGTTAAAAGGTGATAAACACAGCTCAAGTTCACTACCAATTTTGGGCTCAGATTACAACATGGTCAAGAAAATTTGGAGTTCAGCACACACCTGAAATACGCATCCAAATCAACAGTGCAAACAGTTACCAGCAGGTGCTGAACCCCCACGTCGCACAAATAGCCTGTCCCAGATTACAGCTAGCTCCGATACACCTATGGGTTACAGCCACAGGTGATGCCTGCCCAGCAAAGACCTTACCTCGCTTGAATCCTCTTGCTGATTGATAACAGCTAGTGCATCCTCTGCAGCCTGGCGCTTGGCTTCGGCAACGGTGCGCTCCATCTTGGCTCTCTCCGAAGTGATCATGTCGTGAGCTTTCCGCTCTGCCTCCGACACTGCCTTCTGCAACTCGGCCATCGCCTGGCGCTTTACTTCATTGACAGCTTCCTCTACAAACGAGGGAAGAAATCCTCATCAGAACAGGACATTTGGCACAGGGCTACGTAGAACCAATGCGTGAAATACAGCAGATACTCCATTACACTGAGGGTCTTCATTTTGAGTAGAAGGACACAGAGGAACCTGGTTCCTCAAGACTTTTCAAGACCACCCAAGTGCTTCTTTGCTTCCCCATCACCAAAGTCCCTAACACTTGTGATGATTCTTGCTATTTGATTCACAGTCCTTTAAGTACAGACATTTCGGATCTCTGGCGTGTTATTTTTGTAATCTTTTTGAGCATTTTACTTGGAAAATTGGTTTTGCAGCACACCAGATTTATGAATATGGCAAGAATTATTATTTAAGACATAGTATTACAGACTTGTAAAAAAAAGTATCTTTAAGCTCCAGAATTAAGACAGGATTTATAGTCATTGACAATTTTTTTCCCATATGTTAATGAATAAATACATGAAGTTAAAAAAAAAAACAAGAGCTTATTTAAAAATTTTAAATCACTGGTTTAATATCTTTTCCTGGACATATAATTTTAAGAGCCAAGATTAAAATTTGTTTATGAACATTCATTTGACCTCTTGATCTCTCCTTCAAACCCATGTTTGCACTGCGAATTCTCGACTTCCTGGCTCCGCGGAGCTCTCGCGCGCACCGCGGCCAGCAAGGCTTCAGCACACAATTAACACTGAGCAGGGGCACACCGCTCCATTAAATTCAAACCTTCATGCTTCTTGTAAAATAACTAAGTCAGTATGAGCCATTTCTTCAGTATATACTAGTGTCATATCTTTTATTCCGGAAAACATGGATTGTCACAAATTAGTTATTTGGGTTTTGAGGCAGGAAGAGTGCAAAGATTTTACTAATGAACAGTCTTTTAATTGACAACTAAAACAAGTAATTTCTTTTTTTTTTTTTAATTAACTGCTTTAATTAACAAGGAAACCATCCTCCCCCTGAATTAGTTTATCTAATTTTCATCTTTATTCAAAGCAAAATGACAATGATTAATTGAAAATTTAATAAGCAGTAATTATTAACTTGGCAAACCTAGTACCAATTAACACTCTATTAAAACTAATTATGACATGTTTCATTCAAGTGTTTGCACTTAATTGTTTCATCCACTTAAAAACCACCTTAATTAAATGTTCTGTTTAATTAAAACCATAGATTTCTAATAAAAATGTTTTACTGTAGATTAAAATCTAAGTATTACAACGGTGTTACAGGTTTGAGCTTTAGTCCATGTATTTGTGTGCCTGCATATGCACACAGACCTAACTCTTACATATAGGTACTAAGTCAATAACTCTCTTGAGTTATGTCTCATAGATCTGCACTTGTGAAAAAAAATAAGGACTACATGAAGTCTCCATTTTCAGTTATTCGGCAAATTACAATGAAGACCTAACTTTAAGCCATGTACTGACTAAAACTGATTTAATTAAAATGAAAGCAGAGTTCTGTTTCTCTGTGTGTGTGTTACGTGTGTGCATGTCTGCGAGAGATGTTTCAGCTGAAGTTTGTTGGGTTTTTTTTGGGGGGAAGCTGTTTAGAGATAAAACTTATGCCTTTATTTTTATGAGGCTGAAAATATGCCCTTATATTACCCTACCATAAATGTTGTTTAGGGGAAAGCCTCAGGAGAGGAAAAAAATCATACCCTTCAACCATACAGCCAAGGTTTAATTTACTTTGAATATTCAAGGTGAATTAAAATTCTATCTAAGTGGCAATACAGGACAATAATTTTTGCTTATGATCAAAGCTGCAGCTAGACTAATTGTATATGCAAATCAGGCAATTTATATTTAAATTATGCATTCCTATTCTAGTCCCACAGGCGCACACAGATCAGCAAAGGGAATTGGTAGGACGTTTGCAAGGTGCTTGAATATTTATTACCAACTGCAAACATTCACTGATCGTGAGAAAAGAAATATACACAGGCAAACATACAGATGCAATTTTATTACCATTTTCACAAAAATGAGGCAACTTAAATACAGACGTTTTGTGTCTATGCACTGCAGTTACTAACAAAGTGGATTTCTTTGAGAAAATCTGTATTCTTGCTGGTATTTGCTACGAATAGAAATTATCTTTGTATGGCATGATGCACTTTCATTACATCATATAAATTTAGTTTTACCTTGAGGTGTTTGCAGTGGTTAGAAATGCCAGTTTAAACTATTGTATTAAACAGAAGCACAATACTACAACATTTTACAGAGACTTCTAATTTTATAGTTATTCATCCTACATAATTTCCTTCTTTTCAGTCCAAATATAAAAATTGAAACTTGTATTCTAAGTTCTATATTGCAGAAATTTTTTTGCAAAGTTTCTGAAAGTGTGAAGATGCTGAAAGTGCTTACGAGGCCATATGCCTGACTGATACTTTTTAATTGGCATAAACTATGGATTGGACTTTAGTATTTCCATTAAGTTTGACAAGAGAATTTGTGTTGTGCTATACTAAGTGTTAGTTAACTAGGTAACACTATACTAAGTAATACTATACTAAGGGTTAGTTAACTAACTAGCCATTTGTAACTAACAAATAGTTACAATATATTGGGGTTTTTGGTCACAATGCACCACCATCATTTCAATACATTATGAACTCATGAACACCCAAATAAACTAGATAAAATTTTGTATCACTGATTTTCTGCACATCTCAAAATAAATGTTTCCACTACCTACAGTTATTTTATAAAGAGAATGCAGGCCTCCTAGTTTCAGATAACAATAAAAACTGTAATATCTGTGCAGGAAAAGTTATGGGTGACAGTGAAGGAGTTTTTATTTGCCTTGACAATGCTGAGCTGTGAAGACCAAGAATGATACCAGCACTATTCCTTTCTCTGCATTTCCAGTGAAAGGAAGAGTGATTAGATTCCAATATCAGAAAACATAAATCCGGAAGTTTTTTAAATCAAGTATCTAAGATGCATGTATCTGCACCCTTCATTTTCCCACTAATGCTAAGCACGCTTGGCATAAATTCACTCTGTCACTTTAGGAATGCAACTGAAACCTTCCTTCCCTTTGAGGAGCACTAACTCATGAGAGAAGCTCCAGGGAGCAAACAGCCTGTGTGGAACAGGTGTTACTCAGCGTGACCAGAAGTTCTTGGAGCTGACTCAGGAGAGGTACTCAACTCATCATAGAATCATAGAACCATTATGGTTGGAAGAGACCTCAAAGATCATCAAGTCCAACCATATATATCATTCACTGCTGTATATAACCCAACATGATGATTCACCAGCCAGCTTCTGGCCACCTCCCTCACATCATGGGCACACTTGGTCCACATGATTGGAAAAGAAAGGTGGTGGGCAGAGGTGCAGTCCTGTGCCACCATGACATTTTGCATCATCTCACTCGCAGGCTGACCCTGGCAAAAGTGGCCAATGGAGATTGGTGACATGAGTTATCTCAGCTTCATACTCCAAAATGACCCATCTCTTTCTCAGGACTACTCTAGAGAACGTGCAGGGGCCTTATCGTCTTTGTATGACAAAGTATGGTCATTCCACACCTGTTTGGTAACTCCAGAGCTTCCATCTGGACTTCCATTGAGACTGCATCCCAATCAGACTTTTATACTTGATTCAGTTGTCTACACATTGGTCTTTACAGACATTTGAGATACCAAGATATCCGCATAGAGCCACCAGAAATGACTTGAGAGATTTGCAGCCTTCTTGACTGGCAGTTGCAGCCCAGTCAGGAAACTATGGAGCATCTCAAATGGCACTGGAGACCTATTCTTACAGAGCTGAATTGTACCTTTACTGCCTTGAACTGATTATGAAATTGTGGAGACCTCCAACTTCAGTGCACCCTTCTGAAAATGAAGACCTGTGATTTATGAAAAGCAGTACGCTTTCTGGTGTTTTACTGCTCTCAGTAACAGATACAGGTATGCATCCTGTAAGGAGTCAGACTTTTTTTTATTCTTCAATTCACAGGCATGCTCAGTCAATATAAAGAATCTGATTTAAACCCATATCGGCTTGAAAACAGAGACTGGAAAAGGGACAAAAGGAAAACCTTTGTTTCAAAGGAACTGTCGGCATATATGTTCACAAGATGACACGTCACAGCTCCTGTACACTACCATTTGTGGATACACGCAATGTGAATGCATATCCGATTTTATAACTCAAGCCAAAAGCTTCAATTAACTCATGTTGGTAGCCTGTGAAGAAACTTTTTTTTTTTATTGTACGGCATCTAGGAGTCATAAATGACCTGATATGCCAAATGACATCAAAACTTAGATTTTGCAAAAGGAATAAAGTTCCTGAAATTCAACTGAATAATGATCCTCCTACTGAGATTTCCTGGAACTGCATATTTTTGTCTCATTTTTCATTTAAGATGTTAACATAAATACGGCAAAACAAACTATAAAAATACTGTGGAGCATTGAGTTACAAAGGCTACACTTTCCTTGGGCAAAAGAAAATACGTAGATTGTTTTGTTATTTTTCACAAAAAACACAACAGTTCCAAAAATATTAACTAACATATTGACAAATGTAGACTTTACATGATAAACCCACATCATGCAAAACCCACAACTTCTTGTCCAAGGCAACACTATACCAGCATAACACTTTCACGCGTATGTTCTGTATCTAGTTTAAAATACACCAAAAAGCAGCAAGCCGTTACAGGAGATTTGAGCAGAAAGCATCAAAACTGCCGCATATTTGCTATTTAATCATTAACTCCTGCTCAGACAGCTGCTGTGGACTTCATGGTTATACAGGTGTTCAAAAGGGGGGGTGGGGGTGGGGGGAGAGAAAGGGGTGTATAAGCATATATATAGAAGCTCAACTACCTCCCTGGAGTTCAAGAGCTACCCCCTGACCCCTCTGAAAACAAGGAAGCTCTGATATCAATGTCAAAAGAGCAAAGGTTTAGCTCCAGCACCGCAATGGGATCCCTGCCAGGAAACTCCTGTGCTCAGGCAGAGTTTCAAAGTGTTGAAGAAAACTCTGCGTAACCACAACGTCTGCCTGTGGTGCTTTCCAAGCTCGGGGAAGATGCTATCAGTGCCCGTGCAACCACCCAGAACAGCTGCAGAGACGCGATCTTGCTTACTTCATTGAAAACGTTGCAGGTTTACGAGCACAGACTTCACTGGCAGCTGAGGGGCACAAAATCTTTTTAAAATTAAGAATGGTTGCGTTGCATAGCTGAAGGTTTTTCTTTAACAGGTATACTTAGGTTTTTTCCTCTCCCTTGGGAATTCTTACCTTAACTCGGTAAGAACCTTGAAGTTTAAAAAAAAAAAGAAAATAACCACACAAATTTTTTTTTTTTTAATTGCTAACAGACTGAAACTTTAGCATATGAAGTCTCAGCCTGAAACCATTATAACCCCTGAAAATAGAGGTCCTTAATGGAAGTACTGATATCCCCCTAACTATAGCAGCAGATGCTTCTATTATAAAGATTATTTCATGTCCTGATCAGTTCCAGTTTAAGATTATTAAACACAATTTCTTCTTGTTACTAGTAAGCTTTTTTTTTCATTCCTCACATCAGTGCATTAACAACTGCACACAGCTGCCAGAAGACTAAGCTGGTGTTTTTAAACAGTACTTACCAGCTTTCTTCCAGATCTCCTCTGGCACGTATCCAGACGCAGGCCTGTGAAGGAATTCCCGATGCGATTCTGCAGGAGGAGGGGGTGCGGAGGGAAAAATAAAGAGCATCATAAGCAATGCACGCTTGTTGAAAGCAAGGCTTAGAGAAATACCTTTTCCCTTTACTTATCGCTCAGACAAAAAAAAAATCACGTGAAGTTTTTCCTTACTCAAAACAAAACGGATGCTGTGGTCACCGCTCACAAATGTCACGTAGACCAGATCAATATTTAGGACTCAGATGTCTCATCTTAAGCCAAGCTGAGACTAGTTCGCTTTATTTTTATTTTACAGCGTTTCAAGTCAAGTCTATATGACAGCTTCCACGCTTTTAAGGCTGGCTTTGTGCGACCAAGTGAGGGAGTGACGTGCTTCATCCTTTGTCATTATGTTTATGAAAAGGAAGAAGAAAGAAGGCAACAGTCCGGGTTTGGCACTTCTGCTCTGTGAAAACAGAATGGCTACTGACGAGCAGAGATAAAAGCCAAGATGTCATTCTAGTGATCAAATAAGCTGTCCACAGAAAAAGAAAGGGGTGTTCCTCTATGTTCAGAGCTACGCTTTCCTACATCTGAGCCCATGTTGGCAACTGTAGCTCCCTGAGTTTGAAAAACAGAACCTTTAACTTTAGGTTAAGCCCCTAAATACATACGCTGCCAAACAACCTCACTGGAGCTGAAGCTCGTAATTCACCCGTATATTTCAATGACATTTTGACAGCTCTTCCCCCCCTCCTCTTTTTTTTAAAGGATTTAACCTCTGGGCCTGAGCCTAAGAGCTCTGAAATCAGCAAGATCCCTTCCACACAAACTTAAAAGACGCAAGATCAGACGATACAGTAAGAAAATTCACTTTGGCCTGAAATTTAGCATACAGATTTTCAGCAGATGAAAAGCTGCTCTTTTCAAACACTATTAAAAAACCGATTAACTATTTTTCAAAGTAGTAGAGGAGAAACTAAAAAACCAAAACACATAAAGGTAAATTCATTGCCATGACTACTATTGCCTGTGTGACAGAATTCAATTGTCAGAATAAAATAACTTGAATTATTACATTAGAGATACAATTTGAAACTTTTTGGAGATGTTGCTAGAAATTAAACATCCTGTTTGATGTCCGAGTTTGAAACATAACAAAAGTACACATGCCATTCTTTGAACATTAATTTTTACTCAATAGATTAATTTTTGTATCTTAAAAGTTATTATTTGGTAACTTGGTCAAAAAGTACTGCTTTTAAGAAAAAGGTTGAATTAATAGGTTTTGCAAATCATTTTTACACTACCATATATATGTACATGCAGTACTGTTTACATACAGTAAACAGCCTTCTGTTTAAGGCTACAGAAATGTAAAATACATTTAAAAGATGACATTTAATACTGCAGACAGCTAACAAAGGTGGAAATGACAGGGGCTATTTCAGCTACGCAGAGAGTAGGGAATCCCAGTCCCCGCGCACTGTTCCACAGATGCCGTTTCTAGTACGTAAATCTGCAGACACCGACAGGGTGGACTGAATCTTCCCATCTGACAGGCAGCTGAGTGGATTTCCCCAGCTCTTCTGTTTGTCACTAAAGTATGGGATGAAAATAAAATGAATTTTTGTAGGCAGAATTTCACACCTCTCGAGCATAAAATGATGGGGGTGTGTGTGCAAGATTCTGCAAAACAGCTAACTATTTACATTGTTTTAATTGACTTGATAGAGGACTTCAGACCTGATGCTGAAAATGGGAAAATTCTCAGTATTGCTCGGCTCATACGATTGTGGAGACGACAAATATCATTGTGTACACTCCTGTCATCCCTTGGAGGCTTTCAGACTTACAGGCACAGTGCCCGTTCAGTCAGGGACAGAGGTGGCAGCAGAAAACATTGCTTGAAAGCTCAGGAAAACTAAAGGCGAAAAATTAAAATGCTTATTTGCTCTTCCTGCAATACCTGCTGGAAAAGACCCAACCAGATGCCAAATGTGGCAAAATAAGAGGTTTTTTGCATTCACGTCCTGTGCTTTGTGTTGAGATTTCCTGTCTGCTATTTAAGGTACCATCCGCTGCAAGGGGATCATAACCTTGGTTTTAGCCCTTTACCATCGTACTTAGTATTAAAAATAAAGAGATGTGGAGCTGATTTTTTGGTACACATGACTTTCCAAAAATGGAATTCAATGACATAAATGACCAGATTGCCAGCTAAATGTTAAAATTTCCAAAACATAAACATCAATCAAGCTCTTATTCCAACCACAAATTATTTACATGAGGAATGAGATCCTCTGCAAGAAGAATTAAATCAAAAGCTTGTGAAAGACTTTCCCATAGTTTGGAATGGCACACAAAAAAAGACAAGAAGCACTTACGAAGATAATAAAAACCATATTTTCCAAGCAAGAAAAATATTAACATGGCTATTGTTTAGTCAGTGCTGATGAGTCCATGAAAACAATCTTCTTTTCAGGGCTACACTACAGGACATGACCAGACGATATAAGTCTTTTATTACTACTATTTTTAAGGTAAGGTGTCCTTCAGACTAAGAATCACAGAACTTGCTCACTAAAACACAAAAGATCTTAACTTGGGTGTCTGGCAAACTCAAACCAAAAATAACACAATTGACTGCAGTCCCTAAAATACTAAATGTATAAAACCAACTGCAAAAAACCCGTAATGAGGTAAATGCATTATATTAAGTGACTGACTGCAGCACCCAGAAGTCAAAGTAAATTCTGCCTGGAAGGAAATGGAATGAAATCAGACAAAATTAGGAATAACCTGAAGCGACAAGGCAGCTCATACAGAAAAGGATAACAGAAAAAGCTCGACATGTCAGCCATAATACAAAGGTTTGTTACTGGTGCAAATGCAACAATGTTTTAATGCACAACGATGGGACGTACACTGCTGAATTTACTTGAAATTCATGGCAAGGCACGGTTTGAAAGCGCTTGTTGCTAATCAGTCTGGTTCCTACTGAACCAGATGAAAAAGTCCAACAAGGACAATAAAAAGCACATATACATGCAAGTAATCAGTACCTGTCTGTGAAGAGCTTAAATGAAGTAAAAAAAAATATAGATTTTGAAATCAAAAATGTTTTTTGAATTTTCTATTTTAATGTGAAATAAACTTTTCAGCAAGAAAGGTGTTGGACTAGGACATAAGAATACACATGAGGAAAAGACACAAAAATTGGTCTCGATTTCAGCTCTCATTCTATTGAGCAGCAGGGAACAACATAATAAAATATTTTGTAAACTATATAGGAAAAATTACTGGTTTTAGTCTATCTTGGATTTTTTTTTTAATAAGAAAGAAAACATTCACCAAAAAAAAATCCTATTGTCACAATACGATGCTGGGTTCCATATGGGCCCTGGTGTATTTATTTCAAGAATGCATTCAACCATAAGAATCATCGACAGTGAATTGATCACCCAGGTTTCTGGAGTTTAATGAGTAGAAATATCTTGTAGGTTGCTCATTTTTGGTGGTCCTAAGATAAAGAGAATGGGTGCTGAAAGTACTGAAAGAGAGAGATGTGAGCAGAAATAAATATGGGTCTGGGAAGTGAAACAGAGACGAAAAGCTAGGACCAAATAAAGGATATGAACTCTTATGTGATAAGGACCAAACCCAAGAAAACAGAATAGAAAGACTTAAAAGGAAAAGATGTGTTCAAAACTGTCAAAAAGTCTAATCCATATTTGGAAAGAAGGAACAGAAGACGGGTTGACAGTACGAAAGAATGGGGGTTTTTATCACTGGACAATGACAACCAAGTCTATGATAACAAAATATTAAGAAACAGAGATGAACAGCTGATCTTTTGAGGATCTTTTAGAATTTATTGTATTTATGAAAATACTGGCAGTGAAAACAATACCCTATATGCCATAGTGAACATTAGGGCTCAAAAATAATAAAAGCTACATATAACCACCCCTGAACTACAGATTATTTCATATATGAAATATATATGCTTTTATATGTATTTATAAGCTTTTTATATTTTATATGCAAGTTTTGCTTAATTCTAGCCTATAATAAATGTAACACCATTGGTGGGACACAGACAAGAAACAAAAAACTTCTCTGAGCAAAAAATATCAAATATTCACTGCCTCGATTGTAAGAGTCAAGCTCAGAAGTGTGGTACTCCAATTAATGAAATATATAGATACAAATCTGAAAAAGTGTAATATGGAATGAGAGTACCTTGCTAACCTTGTTGGGGGGCATGAGTTTCAAGTATTTTTACGTACATCTTTGCCCTCTAATACATTTTTGAGGCTATTACAACACTCCTTGAACACATGTGAAATTGCATTAAAATATATTTGTGTTCTCATATTAAAAAAATAAGAAAAAGAAAATCACACGGGTACTGTATCACTGAATCAACCTCAACCAAGATCAAGTCAGATTTGAATACGGAGAATACAAATGGGCAATGTTTCTGCAGCTGTAGCCCTACCTAACAGCATACCACTCAGTACGCCACGATCCAGCCCAAACCTCCTGTGCAGCAAACGGATTAAGAGCAATACTTAATATCATCAGTGACCAGTATTACAGAGGCTGTACATTCTAGAATTACAAGTTATAAATGTTGCTGTGGTATTCATAGCATTCCCGTTAGCTCATGTTGAGAATATCGTGCCTATCACAGCAATACTGATTATCTGCAAATAGCAAAGGAAAGATTTTATAATCGCAGCACGAATAGACATAGGAATGCCCTGGCTAACACTGAAAGTACGAGGGTGAGCCACCTTTGATAAAATATAAACTATCTCTGAAAGGGTTAACATTTAAAAATGTATTAAGAAATGCCTAACCTATGTGTTTTTGACAAATTCATACTCTTCTGAGAATCCTGGCTTCCTGGGGCAAATCCTGCAGGTATTGGCACTCTTCAGTTGGAGGTTTCAAACTATTTTGTAAGATTTCCATTCAGATAAATTCAACAGACACAAAATATCAACATCGCTGCAGACCTTCTGATGTCTGCCTACACCACTTATCTAGAGCCACAGCTGCACTCAATAAGGTTATAGATCTTGTTTATAACCCACGAGGTTGAAGAACCCTCATCTTTAATTTATCCGACTGTGTGTATTTCAGTATACAATGTCTGATATGTGTAATTATTCACTATTAGGATGAAAGTTGCAGTCCTGCTGCAGTATGCAGTACTGAAATTCTTCAGCAGAAATGGAGGAGTTGGATGATGTATTATTCACTTCATAGACCATCACAGTTCATCAAGTGAATATATATAAAGTCTGAGTCATTTTTAGACTTTCATAAACATGTATTATTCAGACTGAAAAGAATGGACCTATCTTACTTTCAACACACTCTCGGAGAATAATGAGAGCTTGTAACCTGTTGTAGCTGGCTAATGCATGTATTGGATTACACTGCATTAAAACGAATGATCAAATATTTCATTTGATTTCTTAATTAAAAATATCAACAGAAAAATATCGATCAGACACTGCAAACTGTCAAGCTCAAGGTGATTTACAGGGATGTCAAATTAAAGGAAGCACAAAAATCTTTGGTAGAAAAAAAGGTCTACTGGTTCAAAATGACGACCAGAATTTTCTTCAATTTCCATTTCTTTTGCACTCAAACTATCTATGCTAAATTTCAGATCAGAGTTTTTCATCAAGAGCTATCTATGAAGATCATGGCATAATGTTTATAGTGAGAACTTATCACTTCAGTGATGATATTTTAATCACAAAGAAAAAGAAACAAAGGCACAGACAATGTAGCCATATGGCTCCCTTTTTTTTTTGCCTCTTGCTAGTAGAGATGACAAGATGGATTTAAAGGGTGGATTACCTCATTAAAAAAAAAGTAAAGGGGAATCACTGACATTTAGGATCCCTGCAGCAAAACCCAGTATTTACATATTGTGGCACTCTAATTAAAATATTGGAGGAATTTTTTGACCCCTTCCTCCTCACTTCAAAACTAAAATAAAAAACCCTGAACAGAACAGCATCTCAAGGCTAACAGACACTGCTTCAATTTTATTGTACCTCTGAATGTTAAGAGTTTTCATTTTGTTAACTAGATTACTACCAGATTTGACGAAATATAAGGATTACCCTTACATAAGACTCCGAAGTAAGCATTTTCTGCCTTACATGTCAGACATAAAAGCACTTATCAACATTTACAATTGACGTGGATGCTACATCACTGAAGCGATCCAAGTTTCACGTCCATGAGTCTCGGAAGTAGTTTTTAAAGCCAAATAACCAAAATAGACATGTTAAAATTGAAATGGACTCACTCCAACCAGTTCCGTGGCAGCTATAGTACTGCAGATGCGACTGGTGTGTCCAGTGCTGAAGGCTGTGCTGTATAAAATCTTTTTAAGCAAAGACTTTGCTGTTTCCAAGAATTCATCTTGACAAATACACAAACAAAATGATAATATAGGGATCTAATTGTATGTTTGATCTTCATTTTACCTTTTGTTGCTGCTGTTGTGGTTATGACTATTTTTCTTGGATCTACAAAGTTTTGATGAATGTCTTGAGTTCCAGTTTCTTTAGGGAAATTATAAAAACTCAGTTTCCTTTCATTTTTTTTACCTACTAATTATACTTACAAGAACCATGGCCTGGCTCTTTTTGCATCATAGCTTTATTAGAGAAGGGTGCCACTGCTTTTGATCTAGGGGCTTCCTCACAAGTGTTCTTCCCGAAGCTGCAGATGTGATCAACATTTCAGATGCCGTATTTATGAGTCTTTTTTAACATTACACTTAACACTGTTCATACAAGCCATTACCTGAATGCTTCTTTCTGAGAAGGGCTCCTCTAGGGACTAGACTTACTAGTGAGGTCGGGAACAGCATTTCCATAACCCTTCCTTTCACTGACTGAAGCTAATGTATAGAGCTATTGGCCCAGATCATTTGACACACACACACACAAAAAAAAAGGTTTCTTTGTTATCAAGAAGAACTAAATATTACAGTAATAACTCTAGAGATTACCAAGAGGAAGAATGGAGAGAGCATTAGATTTGTTTTTCTGTTTCTCTATATGCAGTTCATTAAGTTTTAGATTTAGTAAGTTGTTCTTAAGGGCAAAAGGAAAACACAGCTTTAAATAAAATATAGTTGCAAAATAACACACACATGCAATTCTACTAATGACCACAATTTGTGATGATTTTGAGTAGATGGCATTTGACATGGACAATTTATTTTTTTAAAGATAAATATTAGACAAGCAATCATAGTTTGCTGTTCTCTTCAAAAGAGCAGAGAACAATAAAAAGGCATCACCAAGATATGTTTCTTTACCACACCTGCCATGAAAGTGAGGGGGTGGAGTTAGAAGCAGGCCAACATATTAATAAATTACAGAAAGCCCACAAAATAAAAGCTTGGTCTTATATAGCAGAGTCATCTTGGAGTAGGCATGTGAGGTATTGTGTGAGCCTGACTGTGAAGGTCTACAGAGGGTGAAAGTCCAACTGCTTGGTCTGCTCCTTGTAAGTGGGCTTTCCAGCTGGAGTCCAGCTCTGAGCGGCTCCGTGTAACTACACAGCCAGCAGGACCTGAACTAGCTCAGACACCCCTGTGTGTGCTGCAGCGGTGGGCACAGACCTAGGAGGACCAGGTGTGCATGCCTGTGGACATCCCAGATGTTGTTTCTTTCTTATACGGAACCCAAGTACAGCTAAGAAGCACCCACACGTTTACATCTCCCTTCATTTCCTTAGAAAGACAACTTCCAATAAGTTATTTGATTTGAGAAGGTGAAAGCCCTTGGTTTCACAGTGCTAACAATCCAGAAACACCTACAGATTTCCTTAATCAAGGAGGGAGATAGAAGGGATAGGGAGTCAGTGCACGTCTCACTGCTCTGCCATCCCTATGTGATGGTCTGTCCTCCCGCCCCACCACCCTCAGACATTGCTGAATAGCAAGCAAATTACCAGGCATCACCCAAAACCCCAAGCCATTCCACATGTAAACATGACTATTAGGGCATAATAGTTATAGCTAATTCAGTAGTCAGCAGAGAGGAATATTTCATCATTATCATGGAAGAAGAATCAGAAGAACAAATACGTGCTCATCTAGCACTTAGCCGAGCTGAAAGAGGACTGGTAAACAATTATTAATGAGGATACTGTACCTAATGTAACTGGATCTGGATTCACTGGACTCTGCTGTCTGGAATGACTACTGCTGCTGTTACCACCTTTTTTTAAATCTTCCGCATCACTGTACCGCCGTATCCAGTAATTAAGCTCCTCACGGTCTGCTTCTTGACATCGCCGTAGTACAGTGAGAGATCGCCTAGTTTTTTCCACCATGTCCATTATACAGTTTAACAGCTATTCACATCAGTGGATGGAGCAGAGAAACAAAAAAGAACATTTTATTTATAAACCAACAGAAAAATAAATAAAATGTTAATGTGCTGAGTGCCTGAGTTTTAATAATGAAGGAGTCTCTCCCTGTTCTCTCAAATACAGCTGAAAAATTCTAGTTTTGTTCTAAGAACGAAAATCCCTTCCTGTTTAACTGGTGATCCTAAACAGTACAGGTATGGATTTCTGGGGGAAAGGGCGAAGCCAAGGACAAAAAGACTCAACAGACCATAGTCCCACCACTAGTATCACACAGCACCACAGAGGCCAGGAGATCTGGTCCAGAACTGATGCCTACAAATGTTACAAGAGCAAATAAATTCAAAGAACAAATCCAATGTGTCTCAGATCCAGGGTTTATAGAGCAGAGTCCATTCCTCTTTTGGCAGCCTCTAGTAATCAGGATACTGCAGGAAGCACTTAAGAGCAAGGCCTGGTATGAGCTACCTAATGGAGAATATCAAGCCCTCTGAAAGCCACCAATGCTTTCAAAACTTGTCCTGGGATTCAGATTTGTTTTGAAAGAAATATTTTAAATTCCTATATTAGAAGGGCTCCTTTCAGACAGGTACACATAAGAGTACATTTAGCCCTTACATGGTCAAGGTGTTTCCACTCTTCTGCCCATTCTCTGTCTGTTAGCCTGTGATCAATCATTTCTTCTTGACGTGTGCCATGCAACCCTGCCAAAAAAGGAGCAAATCATGTTTACAATGTTGGGAGTCCTCGGGGCCGGGGGGAAAGAGCCTATCAGACCAATATATCATACATTACCTGGTCTAGAATCAGGAACGCCACCACAAAAATAAATGGATGCTTAAAACCTTTGCTCTAAGTTTTCTTTAGCACTTTTCCCCACACAAGATGCTACCGTTTTACTCAATTTAATGTCTCCAATTCTGCAAGTTCTGACCTTTCAAAAATGGACATAACTCTTCCTGATGATATAAAATTATAAGATCTATAAAACATATAATATATGATTTTTCATTTGTACTACTTGAAGAATTCAGCAAGACAATTATTTGGTAACTCAGTGTACCAAATACCAGTTGTACTTCAGAGAGTTGAAAAAATATTACTATAAACTCAATGTTATTTCACTAAATGCAGTAATTACTACCATGTCAACAGAGCATCATTAAGGGTTCATCCCTTCACAGATGTTTAAACAACATGTGGTTAAAATGTAGCACATATATCAGAGCAGCTGACAACATGATACAACTAAGCCAGTATTTATTATCAACACTCAAGAGGAACCAACACTTGGTCTTTGTTTAGCCTCCTCCATACAGATGCTGAATATTTGCAAATGTTCCTCTTTTATTGAAGATTTGTTTAAAACAAGGAAGAATAGTAAGTGCAGATGTGAAGCAAGTGAGGCAAATGCAAGAGCATCAGACATCCCATTGAACCAAAATGTGCTGTGCGGGGTGTGGTTGGTGCTCCTGCTCTTCGCATCCTCTGCAGACATCCCCACGCGGCACCGCACTCTTGAGATGTCACACACAAAACATTTCTCCAAAGGCTAACAACTTTCCTTTAGTCTAAGCTGAAATCAAGCTGTATTGATGTTGTTATCATCACAAATGTGGCATTAGAAGAAAAATAAAAGGCTGTACCTATCCTTGTCTGTCAGACACCTGAGTGTCCATGTCATCTATGCAGCTGTGAAAGCACAGGTTCCTCCTCCTTCTGACTCTTGCTTTAGAGTGTAGCAAAGATACAATTCAATCCACTTTTACAAATATAAATCTGAAATGATGCCATTAGAAGCACCTAGATGGACAGACAGCTATAAAGGCTACATCTGAATGGCAGGTATATTTAATCAGCAAAAAAGCCCCTGTTCACGATACAGAACATAATTACAAGGAAAAGAGAAACCTAAAAAACCAATGCAGAAAATCAACATGCCTTACCCATAGGTCTGTTTCTGTCCCTGAGGTCCCTGTGATTGGGGTGTCTGTATGAGTCCCTGTAGTGGTGGGCAATGGCCATATCATCCAAACGATAATGCTGAGGTGGAGGTGGGGTGGGATGAGGCAGACCATTGGGCTGATAAGATAAGCCATTATTTGGACTGTACCGCTGGCCTGGGCTAATAGTGCAGGGCCGCTTGCTTGGATGCTCTGAGTGCAAAGGCTCTCTGTCAAAGCCATTTTCTTTGGTTCTGGAAAACAAAGCAAAGGAACTTTAATTCACTTAGTGAGCAGGGCTGCTCAGGAACATGCACTCCCACCTACATGTGCACCTTCAGGAACCAAAGCTTGTTCTTCCACCTTGCTCCAAGTGTGTGGTGTTGCGGAACATTTCATAACACTGCTCATTCAAAATATACAAAGGACACATTCACCTTGCCTAACGATCCCTGTAACCTGAGAAATACTAGCAGGGTGAGCTTTCTGATAGAGCGGCTTAAAGAGCTGGGCTGGAGAGCGAGCAGGCTGCACTGAAATCACCAACTGATGGGACAGATACACACGTAACTGCAGAGCTGAAACAGTCAACTGATACATGAAGCCAGAGGCCAAGAAATTCCTACTCTCAGTAGTGCTATAGCATACAGGAGAAATTTGCAGCTAAAAATGTGTTTTTTTTCAAAAGGATAGTATACAGTCTTAAGCTAGCGCATGTCAGTGTGCTGAAGTGCAGCTATATGTAATGCCAGGATGAGCTCCTCCCATCAAGATCAGTGTCACACTGAGACTTTCAGCACAAATGACTCTAAATGATGAGAAATGCTTCCTTCAGAGATTTTTGTACCATCTGGGCTATTTCAGTCAAAGGTGCTGTGACTGTCATTAACTTTGTAGGAAGATGTGGTTAAACTCAAGTCCTCAATAACGTTCAAGACTTCCCACCCCATTACTCTTAGACAGGGGTTTTACGCTCAGGCAACTCTGAAGAGTTATCAGGGAGAAGGGCAGTTTTTTACGTTACAGATACTCGTTAATTCAATTCATAATCAGCTATTTCCAAAGAAGTCTCTACTTTGCATCTCTTCCTGGGAACCTGGAACTTACACTGAACTAATTTTCCATTAAAATAAAAACCAGAAAGGCTAGAGTTACTTCAATGTGTTCACAACTCCTTTTAGGGAAGCTTCATTTCACTGAAGTATGGGGTTTTTTTACCACTGGAATAAACAAAACCTACAAAATATTAGCTTTGAACAGAAAGGTTATTAGATACAAACATTGCAAACTGTCAAGGTTGTATCCCTCCCTCCAAAAACCTTTATTAAACAGCTGAAATATTCCAGCCTTTTTTAAAGAGAACTTTCTCCTCCGTGATTCATGGATGGCATAATATATCTTCCTAGTAATAACACAATTTTTTGTCACTTTGACAGAAAGGTAAATTTGATCCAATTTTCTTGTTTGCCTGCTGTTAAAACCAACTGCCCTTCAACAAACCCTCCCCCACAAACCAACCACCCAACCTCGAGGGACTGTCTGTGGAGAAACACTCAATATATTAATTGTTGCCCCTCAACAGGTTCTCCTTTAAAGTCAGTGCGAGGAAGGATGAAACCCAATCTTTGCCAATATCCACTGGGAGAGAGGATCAGAGCAAGATCTTGCAATTACCAGCAGGAAATTAAAAGATGGGTTGCACTGTTTTCAGAAGGAGTAAAGAGATTTTCCAGGGACCTCACCACAATGACTAACGCCAGAGAAGCTGCAGGTATATATATTTTATTATACCGTAACTTGGCGAAGAGGGGAGAATCTTTCACCAATACAGCAGGATAGTTGTTCTCATTTTGGGAAGAGATATAAAAGATATACTTTGTTAAAGTGGAGCATGTACGTTGTTCCAAAGCAAACGCAGAATGGCTGTGAAAACTCCTAATCAGGAAAACCTGAGGACCATCATATATTTTTAATTACTTTTGGCACGATGGAGCTGCTTGCAATAACTCCCAATGGGTAGTGACATTTTGACAGCTCTCCAAGACAAGTTTTGTATTTAGTTGCTGGTGTGTGTTTTCTTTGCACGTATCTACTCAAACTCAATGTCCAGGTCTTTCAATTGTAAAAATACTATGCAAGCAAAAAATTGACTTTCCTATAGGTACAAGCCAAGCTATTCATTTGTCCAAGTTCTTTAGTGTTATGATTAGAATGATCTCTAAATAAGATGGGAAAAAAAATCAGAAACTGTAAATAATTAAATACCTTCATTGACTTTTTTGATCACTCAGTGTAGGAAAAGCAGAAAGAAAACTGTAACAAGTAGGAATCCAGTTTTCCTTTTCTGCATTATAATTAGATGTTAAAATCATATATTTTCATACAAATGTACATATTTGCACCTTACTGTACAGGTACTTTTGTGTTTTTTTAGGCATGCTTTATACTTAATTACCTTAACTGGAATGTACTGCATTAGCTTGGACACCACACCAGCATATCCATTTTCTTCTAGAACCTAAAACCATTTTCTTCTAGTTTAACTAACACAGAAATTAACAATACTATTGAAAATACATTAACTGAAACTAAACTTCTATTTTTGCTATTATGCTGGGTAATGGCTGTCAGATCTTTTCTGGGTGTTAAAACCTTAATTCTACAACTTGTTGTTGTATTTTCTGCACTGACCAAATAAACAATTTAGCAGAATACCAGAATGATACTGTTGATAAACTCATTTTGTGTCTCTGACCATATAAAATATATAAAAAGGTAACAAATTCCAAAGTCTCATCAGAACAGGAATCACTGGCAAATTTACTATATCTGAATATACTGAATATAGAAAAAGACAAAATACTGAAGAGTGCCATAATTCAGAAGTCCTGAACTTAACCTACGATTCTGCTTCTGATCTCAGTCCTACTCATTCTTCCAGGTCTCACCCCCTTGGGACAGCAACATTTCCCCAGGTGCCTGAGGAAGCACTCCTGCTTCACAGTAGCTGGCAGACCCATGAGTACTAGTTCCTAATCCAAAACTGCCACAATTTTCATCTGATTTCATCTGATTTTGCAAGGAACAACAAGCTGTAGAGAGGAAATAACACTGAATGTGTAGGAAGCTTAACTGACACATTTTCTTGTTTTTCTTTTTCTTGCTCCTGTTGGTCACATTTTCCTTGACGTGCACATAAATTGGCACTGTTGTTGGAAAGTTTGCAATATGATGAAGACGGGGTCCTTCAGCTATAAACGTGCAAGGAGTTATTTTACCTGAAGCTGTGATTTACTCAGATTAAAGATAGCAGAATAGATACTAGTCATTAGTCTATACCTTTTTAACAGACTTCATGCTGTTTGTAAGCTATCATTTCAGTTCTAAATTATTGCAATTTATGGATAATTTCCTGGGCAGGAAATCTGACCATGCAAAACTGCCTTGGCTGGAAAATTAAGTCTCACCTGATCAAGAGTATTACACCAATTTCAAAGAACACTGAAGTCAGCTTGCAAGAAGGAGGCAAAGCTGTTCATCTGCTATTTGTGCAAGATGCTTTGATTTAAATTGGACTTCTACCAATAAAGTCTTGATGACCAAACAAGTGATAATGCTTTGCTGGAATAAAATACTTATTTTGTTTATAATACTGTGTTACAGAAAAGACTACTATTGCCTTGCTAACAGTTCATATTAAGAAAATTATTTTTAAATTCTTCATAGTTACACATGGCTTACAAAGAGCAGAGCTGTAAGAGCTGTGAGCATCCTTCATCTTATTGAGATGCGGAGGAGCTTCTTCAAATAAGAAGATTTACCTAACAGCATTATCAAAGTTGGTCTCTGTGCCCAGGTACCTTCGACATGAATTCCTTGTCAGGGTTGTGAAGGATACAGCAAGCATAGCAGCACTTGCTAAAGTCACAAAACAATCATGGCCACTTCTCTTCTCACTCAAAATTAGACCTAACAGATTTTTTTTTGCTATCCTATATCCACTTTGTAGGCAGCTGTCATAAATGTAGAGTCACTATATGACACACTCATGTGCCATATAGCCCTTCCCAGCAAGCTAAAAGGATGACTAATTAGCAAAAAGTCTTTTGTGGTTAGTGTATTTAAAATCATGTTATTTATAACTAAGCATTCATTCACCAAAATAAAAACTCACACTGGTCCAAGTTCCTTTGCTTTACTACAGTAGAATGTAAACTCCAAAAGTTGTAAACAAAATATAGTGAACACTTTGTTCATGACATGTCATGAACAAATTACCAAAATGTGTTGTCTCCTCAGGTGTCAGTTTTTCTCTCTTGCAGTGACTGATGGTTCCCAGTGTTATTACAGAAACAGATTGATCTTTTTAATGAGCTAGTTTAATAGACTCCAAAATCTCACCGTGGCTGCTCATCCGTGTCAGACCATATGCACCAAGAAAACATTCAGTAAAACACGAAGCTCTGCTGTCAGATTGCTCTATAAAACCTCACATACAGTAGACTTGGATATGCAGATAAATAACCAGAATTGGAAAATGCATATGCAAAAAAAGGTTCTGAAGTTATAAGCAGAAAAAAATTACTGTATGTGGGTTTTCTTTAACAAAAAATCATGAGGTAGATGTGGCTATGTGCAACACACATGTCATACTCCCTTTGCCTAATTCCTTACTGTATTTTACCTCTATGGGAATCAACAGTATGCAGTTACCCGTGCCCAAAAGAAAAATGTAAATATAGAAGAATGATGTATATATATTTCTAATATATACGTGTATGTATCATATACACACACACACATATCTATATATCACAGAATCATCATAGAACCATAGAAGGGTTTGGTTGGAAGAGACCTTAAAGGTCTTCTGGTGCCACCCCCTCTGCCACAGACAGGGACTCCTCCCACCAGACCAGGTTGCTCAAAGCCCCATCCAACCTGGCCTTGAACACTTCCAGGGATGGGACATCCACAGCTTCTCTGGGCAACCTGTGCCACTGCCTCACCACCCCCACTGTAAAAAGTTTCTTCCCGATATGTAACCTAAATCTCCCTTCTTCCAGTTTAAAGCCATTGCCCCTTGTCCTATCACTACACACCCTTGTAAAAAGTTCCCCTCCAGCTATATATGTAAAAAACACACACATCATGTCTATATATATCTATATCTCATACCCCTTGTGAAGTGAAAAAGACACCACAATTTACTTTAGTGACAGACATATCTCCAAAGTTATTCCAACTGCATTTAGTTCCCCTGGAAAGATGTTGCCTTTTAGTAATTTTTTTCCATATTCCAGCAACAGAGTCACAGCAAATCCTCCTCTTAAAGGATGCCTCATATCTTCCACTGTATTTTTATTAGTGCATTTGAAAACTACTTAGACCTCTAAACAAAAGGTACATATATTTCCAGACATTTCCTCCTGTGCCTCTGTAAACAATTAAAATAATTAATAGAGTAATGAGTATAAAGCCAGACAAGTATTTGGCTTCAATACTCACTCAGTTTAGGCATGCTCTGACTGTTTTTTTGTGGTTGATTTACTTATATTATCCAAATTAAAAGGTATGCAAACTCCGATTCAGTAAATTTAAGAATCTTTCCAACAGGATCTTGTTCTTTTTACTAAATCTGTAGTACAAATGTTCTGGAGTGCACGAGACAACTCTGCTGAACTTGGTTCAACCAAAACTACCATATGAGTTTATTTTTTTCTGTATAGTGTTAATCATAGTCAATGGAGAAGTAGGTGTAACTAATCAGTGGCAACCTTGTTTGATACTGAAAAAAAACCCATTATTTTTTTAAGCTAAAGGCACCATTCCAATGGGTGAAATGGGCTATCTCTTTCTGGGTCTTTCATGATAGCAAAGAATCTCGGGGTCAAAAAAGAAAGGACGGGTTTTTCAGAAATGCTACCTTCGCAGAACTAAGGTGTCTAATTTCGAGCAGCAATCAACAGAGGCTGCTGGTTGATAGCTTTGACATCTCGGAGCACGCAGGCCAGTGGGACACCCCACATTACAGCCCCTCCCTGGATCCCAGGAATTCAAATGCAGGGTCTTACCCACAACAGTGGAAGTTAAACTGTCTATCCCTTAACCCCAATTACTACCTGGAAAGGAACTGAAGGCTCCCCGAGCTGGATGGAGCCTAAGAGAGACTTCAGTTGTGAAGCCAGAGGCACTTGCTCATGAGCAGAGACTTCCGAGTTTCATGCACCTATGTATTTTAACTGAAAAGAAACACTGCAAACAAAATTCATAAACCAGACTTAAATCTCTCCAGGTCAAGGTCTCAGTTTTAATTGAAAGATGAAGGCCGACTTTAAAATCCAATATTCTTCTGATCTGCCAGTCCCCTTATGGGCTACTCTTACGTCCTTTTCGCTGTAAGACTAATACTAGGTCTTTTCATTTCTAAGTTCTTGTACTGGTCTTTACCTGCACCACCCATTCCCTCCCACGCAACCGGGACTGAAGGTACCGTAGGTTTAGATCGTACTTATTACAAAATAACCAAAATTCAACACTGTCAAACTGGGTGTCAAAGTGAGGGGGAGTATTATTCCAGCATGCTAATGAAGAAAAACAAAGGAAATATTTTATTGCCTATTTTTCCTTTGTGGTCTTATAGGAGAAGCGAGTAACACTGCTGTCTATTAACAGAAAAAAAAGTGAGCTAGGGCTGTCAGGAAGGCACGTCCATCTTCTCCGTCTGTATTCTCTGTCAAGCAAGACCTCACAGGCTTATGAGATAATTTAATGTGTGTCTGTCTACTTGTAGGAAAAACACTGTGTCTGCTACTGACACTGGACTACAGCATGCTGATACTTAAGTTATTCACAAGATGCACAAGATTTTAAGAGACCTTTTTAATAGACATTTTGGTACCTTATTCTACAAAAACTGAGGATATGCAGCAGAACTGCCCCCGGGAGCTAAATTTTAGCTTCAGAAATGTTATCTCTTCGCATGGAGTAAAAGGCTATGTGGAAATGTCTGAAAATTAATCATCTTTCTTGGATGCAGTTAGCAGGTTTGTGTTAACACCAATGGCTCTTTAGTTTGGTGTAGTTGTCAGGGAAAAATGGTGAAAAGAAGGTACACAGAAAAGAGCTTCTCTGCTGGTATCTTTATTTTCTTGCTGGTCCATAGTGATTTCCCTGAAACACAATCTAAAGCAAGCTAATTTCACATTTTCATCTATCCAATGGCTATGTTACTTCAATTTTTACTGTTCACTTCTGGCTATGAGAAGCTTAAAGTTTTGCTATGAGATTTCAGAGTTTGTTTTCTCTTGGTTTTTGTGCTATCTCAGCCTGTCCCTGAATAAAAACGTCACCTGTACAAACTTGCAAGCCTTCTTGACTTCACAAATCTTCACCTTTTTCATTTAAAAGATAACTAGGACACTTGCCATGCCTTCAGAATACAGGTAGTGGCATTTGGCGGAACAGCATTATAAAAAAGTTTTCCCCGCTACAAAATCCATGGCAAACAAAAGTAAGAAAAATCCAATATTTGGGCCTCCCAAAGGTAAAATGTATGTGCTAGCTGAGTTTCTACCACTGTCATGGGAAGACAGTTAAAAATAAACAGCCACAAGAGTAATTTTCTTGTAACACTACACAAAACTTTATTGAAGTAAGAAACTGTTCCATATCCCTAAAGCTACCATACTTCACACACACACACACACTCGCTCGCTGTGTTTCTGCATGGACTCTTTCTCAGCTTAACAACAAAACAGATTTCAGTGAACATTTCTCCTGTTTGGAGGAAATATCCTTATACATATTGGATATAAGGATATGGACACATGGCACAGCAGAAAGAGTCAAAGCCCTGACTGCACACTGGAGCTTGCCTTATACTTCCCAGGATGAGTGCCTAGCCACTTTCCCCATATTTACTGTTCAGTCCAACAAAACCTCAAATAGAAAAGACTTCCATATGGAGCTGGAGCGATCTGCTGCTCATTACTTTATGCTAACCAGAAATACTATGCATCAAATAGTAGGATACTGGCTGGCCAGTATTACTTCTTTGTGGATATGAACAGTGTGTCCCCAGGCGATTTTGCTGCCTGAATCAGTGTGTGCATATATTACATTTATATACACAGAGATAGATCTGTACATGCATATGTAATATATCTATGTGTGTGTATCTATGTATATGTACACATGTATAAACAGGGCCTGTTGTAATAGGACAAGGGGTAACGGTTTTAAACTAAAAGAGGGAAGATTCAGACTAGATACAAGGAAGAAATTCTTCACTGTGAGGGTGGTGAAAAACTGCAACAGGTTGCCCAGAGAAGCTGTGGATGCCCCATCCCTGGGATCAGTCAAGGTCAGGGTGGATGGGGCTCTGAGCAACCTGATCTAGTTGAAGATGTCCCTGCTCACTGAAGGGGGGTCGGACTAGATGACCTTTAAAGGTCCCTTCCATTGAAACCATTGTATGATTCTATACACACATACACATTACAAAGATAATCTGGCTGTTGCACAGCTGTGATGAAGGCAGGACTCCCAGGGAACACCCTCCCAGCTCCCCCCCAGGCACCCATCCACACGCTCCCTCCTTCCTAATGGAGCTCATCACATCCGACCCATGGGACATTTCTGAGCAGGGTGTGAAAGGTGCAGGGGTGCTCACCTGTCTGGAGTTCGCCTCTTCCCGTTTTCGTTCACATCGAGAAGCAGCTCTGAGGAGTCAACAGGTGAGGTGGTGCTGGCATCCAGAAGCAGCTGTTCGTGCTGGGCGAGGTACTGGGCTGGGTTCTGCTTGGCTAGCCTTGCACAGTGCAGCAGCTCCCGCTGCAGCAGGGGCAGATTGGCCTGCAAGAGCATTGCACACGTTAAGAGGGTGGCTTGCAGGCAGTTTCAACAGAGATGAAGGCAGAAGAACCAGAAATCAAAGCAAAGCCTGCTCTGAGATGAACCTGTTGCAAAGCATCCGCAATTAGGTTTGTTGTGGTTAGCTGCCTGAAAGCAGGCAGCCTCCTTACGGGGGCTGGTCACGGCTGTGGTAAGTATGCATGGAAGGATGGGAGTTTACTGAAAATGGAAGAAAAATGTAAATGCTGTAAGAAAACCAGGTCTCAGTTCCACATCTGAAACAGAAAAAGCACTGTCCTGGCTAACTTCATCCCCTTTCTTGCTATCTAAATCCTGAGTTCTTATGGAGCTGCAGTTTTCAACAAGCAACAAACCTTGTTCAACAGGTGTTTCCCATTCAGACTGCAATTAGTACTTAGAAATAGTTTGAAAACTTAAGATCTGAGGCTCTGTAAGTTGCCTCAGTCAGCATCCTTCAAGGGCCTTGGGGAGAGGAGGATTGTCCTCAGCTTTCCCACTACACTTGCAGTTATACATTAAGATAAAGATTACAACAAATCTCATGTTATAGAGCTTCAGCTAATCACCTGGAGGGCTACAACCCTCCTTCTAGCCAGGTGCAGCTTGAAGTATTTTTAACCTTCCTCTCAGCGCCCCACTGGGACTTGGGTCATGGGCTGGAGAGTAAGAGGACTCAGACACAGAGAACTGAAAACGCTCATTGATCCCCAGGTAGCACATTTTGCCCATCCACTGGGGTCATACAAGTCATACTTCTTGCCAGATTTGAGATCAAGGTGGAACTGTTATGTCCTTCTCAGCAAAGATAGTTACACATCCTGGGAAAAACCTTCCTTGCTTTGCAGCACACACGTACATGGATACTAAGATAGTCCAGTCGTTTCTTACCTACTTATTTGTGCCATAAGGTGATGTGCCCTGAACTCCCTTCTTCCATGCTTAGTGCACAAGACTCGCTGCCTGGGGATTTTCAAGTATTGGATTAAATTTCATTACTTTCAGTAACTAGAGATAAGACAAAAAATTTCAATGGTACCCTTTGCTTTTGAAATAACTCCCATGGAGGGGGGGGATTTCTTTTTTTTTTTTTAAAAACAGGAAAATATTACCTAAGTCAAAAAAGTTCTGAATGTGCAGGAAACCAAGCACAAAAAACAGATATTCTGGTAAGTTTTGAGCACAGGATATTGATAAACTACTTTGCTAGCATTGTAACAATAGCAAATACTCCAGTACCTGTTGCTGTACCATAAACGTAGATCCACTGCACAACAAAAAATGCCAGAATAGGGTCAGTACATATGAACATTCCAACAGTGAAAAAAAAAACCAAAAAAACCAAAAAACCAGCAATTGCTATCACTTATTCATCTTAGGATGGAAAGACAGCTGGTTGTGGAACATGAAGTCTTTTGAGACCTCCACAGAACACAAATATTTTGTGAAAATACTGAAGAAATATCTTCTTTTGGTTGTTATCTGTCACATTTTTGTCCAGGGCCACCACATAAGAGAGAGAGATACTGCTTGTTTTGTGAGCATTTCACTTGTTTTAATTTCATTATTATCTTTTAAAAGCTTACACAGAATTAAAGTCAAGGCACCCAAATACCTGAACTGCCTCATGTGGTAGAAAAGGATTGGAGAAGTTTACATACATTTACAAATAAATATCTGGAGGAAATAACAGGATCAGACCCAGGATTTTAATAGTGGTGCATACTTGGAAAATGTATCATCACATCTCAGCATGTCTGTGAGGTAGAAATGTGAAGTCCCCACTTTGCAGTTGAGTAATTAAGGAAAAAACCAACATGTTTGCATTCCTTACCCATCACCACAAACAAAAGGGACCTACTTCATACATGGGCGCTCCTGGAGACAATGAAATTTTGAACTAGCTAGCAACAACTATGATTCATTTTACTCATCTTCCTTCTCCTAAAGAAACGTTCATTCTTGCTCTTTAACCATAAACATGAAGATTTGCAGTTAAAAGTATCCTTTATTCTAAATGGACTGAACATGTTTTCTGTTCACAGAACAGACATGTACAACTTTTAAGACACTTATTAAACATGGATCTACTCGGTTTCTTAATTTTTTAGAAGTTATTATAGAAAACCATGAACACATGCCTTGTAATTTGGGTTTATAATGGCATCAGGCAACATTTGGACAAAGACTTAAACTGAAGAAAAGCAGTATCTGAAAACACAAGTACTTTCAGTCTGCTCAAGACATTATTCTAAACAATCTTTACCAAACCATATAGTAAAAAACTAATTGCTTTATTGGAAGAAAAAGAATCAGGACGTCTCTGTGGCTAGGTCAAGTGCACAGTCTGCTTCTGGTCACCATGGCCCAGATACACAACAAGAACTAGTTTCTGGGAAGCTGGATGCAGAATGAAACACCGATATTCTCCCTACTGTGAGCAGGGAGGAATCCAGCTCCTAAGGCAACTCAACCGTACTTCTATAGACTCTGAACCCAAAATGGCCTTGGACACAAAGGTTTATGCAGAGGTTCAGCTCTGACAGCAGAGACAGTCCTGTCAGCGCGCAGTAGCACATTTCTCCCAGCATCGCTGATGGTGCCGTGCCTGCAGACAAACTTCCACACCTCTACATGTGAGAGAGACAAACCAGTTCTCGACTAGAAGCCAGATATATATGTCAGAAAAACACTGACTGCAAACAAACGTGGTATTACTGGCTTACAGTCCCCTAAAATGTTGCACTTCAGTGTCTGGAATATGCTCCTACTCTTTTGTTTTGGATTGGACTTTATATCCTTCAAGATTTAGTACTGTCTTAGCCTCCTCCATCAGTTTTATAATCACAGATAGGAAGAGGAGAACATGTTTTTTTTTCCCAGCTGTCAGACCTATTTTCCACTTCGAAATGAACTCTTCTAACTGGAAAAGAAAACATTATCTCTGCACCTGCAAAAGAAGCTACAGCTCCAAAAGGCTGTTTTATCATTTCAGTGCTCACTCAAGATAATTAGTTAATAATTTGCCACTGTTGGGTGTTCCTACTTTCTTTGAAACTTTAGCAACAGAAATATTTCAGTATTATAATTTAAATTTAAAAGGCTTCATTAGAATACAGTACAATTAGGCTTTGATGCAAGTTTTTATAATTGCAAGTTTAAATAAATCATGTACATACTTTAGAAAAAAAAAAATAAATCAAGACAAATTTTTGTTCAGAGAGTCCGAGCAACTCAAAATCATCAAATCATATATTGATACTGATGCTTAAAACAAATACACACAGCGTATATATTGAAAAAGTCTTGGCAGTACTGAACATGTACATCATGTACCACTTAAATTTAATAGACTAAATCCTGCTTGATATTAATATAGAAAATGTGCACAAAAAGGCTCCCAGCCAAAGAAGGTTTCTGCAGGTGAATGATCTTATCTTCCTCTGAACCAGAATTAGTAGAAAGATAAGCAATTCGATGACTATTTATTATCTGTAATAGATCAGCGCTCCCTGGCGTGATGCACTGTACAAACACATAGTGAAGAGTAGCTCCTTTCCCAGAATTTTTGTTACAGAAGCACAAATACTGGCTTCCGACTGCAACGTAGCATTTGGTAGACCTAGCAATCTGTAGCGGATCTAGACCACAAAGGATATACAGCGTGTGCAATGTTTAAAGAA